CCAGAAATGTATGCAGGGTTATTATTGTCGTTAGCTTAGAGAAAACTATTAAACATTTCTGTTATTCGAAATAAAATAGTATATAAATCTGACAAAAATCTTGAAATGTTGCAATGTTTGAAAAGTTAAAGCACTAAAATGATTAACTAGAAATAAATAAAAACTAAAATGAATTAAAAAAATAAGCTAAATAGAGATATTTAAATGATAAACAAAAAACTAAATCTTAGTATAAATAGCATTTAACATTTATTGCTATTTGTACTAATTAAAGAAAATGCTTTTTGTTGCTATACTTATAGTGTAATTATCATCTATCGCTAATTCCACTAATTTGCACTTTATTTGTCGCTGCTCTAAAATAGTTAACTAGATAAAAACTAAAAAGAGATTAAAAAAAATGAAGCCTACATTTTTTTTAAATAAACTAATAAAATGACAAAAGCAAATCTTAAAATTACTAAAATATTTGAAATATGAATACAACTGAATTAAAAACTAGAATAATGGGATGATATACCGTTAATACGCACTGTAAGAATAAAAAAAATAGTTTACAGATATTTTCTTCAACACAATGTTGTAATTTAAAACACGAGAAAACCGCTTGTGAAAAATGTTATACAGAATATTTCTTCACAGTAACAGTTTATACTGTAATTGGGCCATGTTTTTACATATTTTTCTCTGAGCCTGAAGTGTAAATTCAGTCCCTCCTAACACAACCCTTGTTTCCCGTGTTGTACAGCACTGATATGCAAGACTTGTGGATTTCTGTGAAACAGCTGATCGAGAGGATCAGTGCTGAGGGAAGAGTTAAAGGACATGATGATTTCATTGTGGCGCTGCGGTAAGTAGAACTTTTCCACCTGATACAAAAAGCTTTGCACTTGTCTTTATAATTATACAGCGATCTTGAACATTGAATACTGCTAAGGCTGAAAGTGATATATTTAAGGAACTCTTATATTTTCTACTTCTGAACTGTCAAATGATAACTTTATTTGCTTATGTGTGTTTTACAGCATTTTTCAAAGACTGGGTTGTCTTTATGGAGACGTTATGTTTCACCTGTGGACAGCTCATGAGAATAGTGGGTATGAAGGCCATTCAGATTATTCATTTATTGAAAAGTATTTGACTGGTCTCATGTCATAAAACACTGATGACTCTGTTTTTCTACAGAAAATTTGCCATGTTTAAAGGGATCATCAAAAACGAGACGATGGTGGACCTCTGGAAGTAAGCATGTTTTTTTTTATTGCCTGCAAGATGATTGAAAATATTTGATTTGAA